TATAATTATTATATAATTCTTATTGGGTTGATTAATCTTTTCAACACTAAAACCATGTCTTGCAGTCATTCTCACTTAAATCAGGTACATTTTTTTTTATGGTTCCTAAACACAAGTATTTTCAAATTAAAAAAAATAAAAAATTTTCTATCGTCAATTTAAGTTTTTATCATTATTCAATATTTCTTTTTTTATGTTTTTTTTTTAAATAACACATGAAACAAAACAAAAAATATTCAATAGAAAAATAAAAAGGCGCCCGGCGGGCTCCACAATTTATGTGATATTATGCGCAGGGGTCTGTCCAGACATTTTGTGAAAGGTCCATTTTTCGTGAAATTGTGAAAAAATTACTCACATTCTTTCAGCCAGGGTCCGTTTTTATGAATTTGTGCAAATAGGGTCCGGTTATTGCAAAAAACATTTTCAAGGAGTTTTCAAATTGTAAATAGATACAAGATTATGCTCGGCACTGTAAAATTATAATAAAAAAATTAAATTTTCAAAAATAAACAGCAATTGCTGCTTCCAAATTAGAGATGCAACATGCACATATTTCGTATTTAGCTTATACTGCTGAACGCAGAATATTAATTTCGGACCAATAATTGAAGAATCGTCTGCCGAAGTCAAAACTTAATTCATTTACATCCATCTTTCTTGTTTTCTGCCCTGGGAAGGATCTATTCGATTAACAAAACAATAATGAAGATATACAAATTTGTGAAGGGTCCAATTAAAAGAAAAATCATTTTGTGAAGAGTCCGTTTTCATGAAAAGATATTTTGTGAAGGGTCCGTTAACGGACCTTAATTTCTTCTGAACAGACCCCTGATGTGCAATATAATAAACCAGAGTATGCGGCCCGCATGTTGGCAAGGCGTGTTTTAGAGCAATCGAGCCTTTTAAGTTTATATTCGTTCTGAATTTCACTGATCTTTTATGGCCCGAATTATGTCAATTATAATTTTATTACTTTTACGCAATATTTTCTCTAAACCAATGCGTCAGTTCAATTTAAGAATTAAAATCAATTCGGAAACAGCTTCAGTTTTAAAAGTTTTGTTCATGTTTAACGAGTTAATGATAATATGTGCACAAGTTAATGTGCACAGTAAGTTAAAGATTCGAGTCAACCTAAAACATTTTTTTATTTCCAAAACTATACTTTTCAAATTAAATATTTGAAGCCATTGTTTCAGAACTAGTTCCACTAGTTTATAGAAATTATGCAGAAAAGATTAAAAACATTTCTCTTCCAAGGATTTATTAAATATAAATAGAAGTATTTGAAAATAATGGATATTTGCATATTTTAGATTTATATTAAACAAAAAATAATTTAAATATAGCCTTTCGCCTAGTTATTCCATTGATTTGGGTTCAATGGCACAAGAAACAGTTGCGTCAATAGTGCGCCAATTTCAAATGATTTTACATACACAAAGTAGCAAAAGTAATTGGTGTTATAAATTATAAAAATATTTTGAACTAGTATGATTTTGATATAAGTCGACATTAAAGTTCATTAATTTTTGTTCAGAAAAACTACGAAAACAGTTGTAGTTTCAGTTGACTTTCTCAAGAATAGAATATAACAAAATATAAAAATAATTTAAAAAATATTATAATAAAATTTTTTATCCTCGTTATATTTTATTGTCAATATTTATAGTTGTTCTGATTTAGAAATAATAAAACATAAATAAATTGCGTTCCACAAAATAAAAGATAAAAACAGTAAATAGCAGCTTTTGATCGAGAACATTTTGCACGTATGAAATAAGCATTAGTTTTTAAAAAGCTAGTTTCGAAAAAAAAAGAACTACATGCTGGTTAAAATATCCAATACTTCATTCTTTTAAAAATATTTCTGCAAAAAAATTATGTGATGCAAAAATAACTTTCGTTAGGAAAACTGAAAATAGAAAAAAATAGATAAAAGGGATATACTTTCAATTTGTAATAAATAAATGACAAAATGAAAGCTAATGAAATTATAAACGTAGAAAAGGAAATAATTTCTAAATGCAGTGTGTAAAAGTGAAGTGTGTAAATTAGTAAATATAAAAAAAAGCTAAATAAAATCGAAAAAGTGCAAAAATACACAAAGAAACATTTAGACAGAGAGTTGAATAGAATTACTATTCACATACGAGGATTTTTGATTCAAGTCTGGATGCAAAATTAAATTTCATAAAAATTTGGCTTTTTGTTCATAAGTCAAATTAAATATGATTTTCAAATTTTATCTACATCAAAAACTTAGTTGCAAGTGTACTTTTAACAACCTTTCCTCATATTTCAAAAAAGGGTTATGCAAATACATCATTAAAACATGATTTTAGACTAATTCTATTCCAATTTTCATTCTTGTTTTGCTTATAAAAAATAAATTTTCATTAATAATATCCTTAATTAAGCTCCTCCATAATATTTTAAGGTCTAATTATCAATACAGAAGGAAAAAAAATCCTTTCATTATTAAGAACCTCATTAAAAATAGTTTTATCAAAATGTTTTAAATATAATGATATTTTTAAGCTAATGAGCCATGACAACGATTTTACATCTTCGGAAATAACGTTAATAAATTGACCAATCTAAGAAAGGCAGAATCGAACATAAGCATAAAAGATAATTTTTAATCCAGAAGGGGTTACAAATATAACACTTATAACTTTACGCTTATAACAGTAATTTGTTTTCTTATTACAATACGCAAATAGCTAATTATTGCATTTTTGACAGAATTTAGAGGAAAAAATAATTACATATGTATAAATGTTATCTTGTTACATTTCATGTAATAGTTTTTACTCATTCCAGGAAAGTTTATAACTTAATGTTGTACTTCAAATGACGGAGAACTAGTTTATTTGTTTCATATTAACGCTTAATAAATTTCTTTAAGATCTGTGTAAAAAAGCATCGAATAGGCTAAGCAATATTTATGTAGGCATTTTTAAGTTAATGCATTTCCCAAAGAAGCTTTAAAACAGACAGTAGGTATGTTTCTTAGATTATTTGCTCAATATTATATGATCGATCATTTAAAGTTTATACACAGGTCATAGAAGAAAGAATAATTTAATGTAATGAGAATTTAATAGAAAGTGTTGTCCAAATACATACTCAACATCTTAAAAAATAGAATAACACATTTATTTTATAGATTGCATGGATAAAAAGGCGATCTATTTTCTTAAGGAGTTTTTCAATTCTTAAGAAGTTACTGGGTGCAGTTTTAAAAGAATTGCGCATGAAATAATTCTTTTAAAAAATAATTATTTTAAGAAATTACATGCAAAAGCAGTTGAAGTATTATTAATAAAAAATACTTACCACGAAAGGTAATAAGTTTGCCAAATGAATATTTTAATGAAGAAATACCTTTTATTACTGCTAAACATCTGTTTCAATTATTATTTGAGATTGTTACACGACAAATTGAGAATTCAGAATAGTAATATGAAAATGAATTTTTTAAAATAACTTACATTGTTTTAATGGTCCAAGGCAAAGGAAAGTACTTCAAATGTCGCCTCTGTTCAAGTTTGGTTTTTAAATATGAATAATAAACTTCTAATTACATGCAATACAATAACTTATAATGTCCAATGTAACACAGTGATTAATGAAACTTTTCTTTTTGTTTACTTCTTGGTTTTGGTTATATTTCCCATATTAAAATTTATTTGATTAAAAATGCAGTAATTTTATAGCAATTCAGCTTCGGTAAATAATTTATAGCCAAGTTGACAAGAATTCAGTATACATGATACATGTAAAGAAATTTTGTTTTTGTTTTTTGAAATTATATATTTTTATATCAAGAGCAAAAATCACACAATTACTTTTATTTATAAAAATTCTGTACTAAAGAGTATTTATAGATCTAAGTTCATAATGACTTGCAAGTGAAATTTGTTTTTCTTAGTTAGTAATTATTATCATTATTATTTTTGGCTAAGGTATTAAATTATGTTGAAAATAATGTTCTTTGTCTTTTCTTTTTATCTTCAAAAGGAACAATATGGAATATTTTTGTTAAAATATAAACGAGCAAAAAATCACTTTGCAAGCTACGGACAATGCGGCTATGTAGTTTGCTAATAGAAATAATATTTGCAAGCTACAAGGTTACATTAAAACAGTAGCAAGAAAGGTCTAAAATATTTACAAAAATATAATTCTGTAGATTTTTTTTAATTGAATAAGTTCATTGCGATCATAATAATCGAGATAATTAACCATCCAAGCTTTCTGATAGCATATAAAATAATGTGGTAAACAAGCATAAACATTTGTTTTATGAAATTGATTGTATCTTGTGTTGCTAACAGGCTTACTAACTTAACGAAATTATGTTACACTTACTGATCATAAAAAAAAATTTTAAACACTATTTTATGTTAAACATAAAAAATTATATAATTACTACTTTGTGCAGCTTCATTTAATTTAAAACAACACATTGTTTAAACACAAAGATATCATTTTACCTGACAAATAATTAGTTTGGATATTTGTCTTCTACTACAAACTGTGGATGTATTAATATATATATTTTTTTGCTGATCTTTTAAAAAATAATTTTAAGAATAATAAAAGTTTGCACGTAAACTAGCTAGCATTAATAAAATAAAAAAATTGAAATTAAAAGAAAAAAAAAGTAAGTAATGAATTTCACCTCGTTAATAAACAATAGAATTGTATTATGAATAGCGCTACTTATCATTAAAAATTGTTTACTAATTCTTAATTTATGTAAATACGATTTGATAACAGTGAGTTTTTATGTTACAGTCTGAAGTTCTACAAATTTTCTTTTTTCCTACTTAGCATTTCCCGACACTAAAAGAAATGATAGGTATTTAATGCCTAGAGGAGCACATGAAATAATATTATGTTCGAGTGTTTATCAGAACATACGAGCCAAGAACTGCTAGAAAACACAAAAGTAAATTATAATAGAAAGAATAAATGAGAGTGATCACCTTTAGCGGCTAAGGCTTCGGATGATGAGTACCCAAGCTTGTTCAAAGCTGTCCGGACAAGTTCAGAAAAGAGAGCATTACTGGGAATTATTGCATAATTATCTAGATCTACAGAAGATTGAGATAAATCAACTGATTGGCCCTGCGGTGAGACCTGCTCCACGATACAGTGCACGGGTATTGAACGACCTGTAGAATAAAACATTTTATAGTATTCAGAACATCGTATAAATTAAGATGTAATGTATGATGTGACAATAAAACTATGGTAAAACAAATAATATTATTTAATAAATCACTCAGTATCATTTATGCACAAAAATATATATGCAATTACTATTTCAGATGTTTATTTTAGGTGCAATTTTAAGGCTGTTTTTCAAAGTCTATATCGCCACATGAAAAAAAACGCTTTTTAGCGAATAATATGGTATTTTTATAAGTGTTGTGGGTTTGTAGCAGTTATTCATCACTGTTAGGTTAAGTTTGACTACTTTTTTTGAATGACTAAGATGTTAATTAAGAAAATAGAGCAAAAAATTAATAAGTGCATTTAAGACTTCGGAGGGTTGGTCGAAACATGAAATAACTCATTTAAACGAATAATATGCTATTTTGAATAATTGTTGAGAGTTGTTATTCACGGCTGTTACGCTTTGATTATATTAAGTCAACGCATCCTTATATTAATCAAGAAAATGGGGCAAATTGTTAGTATGAAGAAAAAACAGAGTTTGGGGAAAATGAAAAGCGTTTGTGTTCTAGTTTTTTAACATTTGAAAATATACTACAAAACTGATTTGTCTTTAAAAAAACTGAGAATTGTTCATTAATTTTAATGATTTATATCTAAGGGGAAAAATCTCGCCGAATTGGTGATTTTTTAAAAAGCATAATTAAAAAAAAAATTTTTGTTAGTTCTCAAACTCAGATAATTTTTTAAGGAAAGAAAATATGAATATCATAAAATTTTAAATTTGCTTTGAGTAAGAACCTTAAATTTTTAAAATTTTTTTAATATAAATTTCATTGGCTACGATTTTTGGAAAACACCCATAACGTAATGTTTAGAAGCAGAAGCTAATTAATATTTTCTTAAAAACGATTCAAATCATTGATACGTTCAAGTTTAAAAAAAATTGAAGATATTTAAGATTTCTTATCGATACACTTAAATACAGGCAATTATTTTCTATAAATAAATGGAAAACAAGAATAAACACTAATAATATTTGAAATTGTGGCAAATATGTTTGAAATTTTTAATTTTAAATGTTAATAATTAGTAATCATTTTAAAAGACTAGCTCGCAAATCACATACAGTTTAAAAGCGTCACAAACCATTTCAATACTATAATTTGAATATTTTACAATATTAAAATTTTCGTTGGACATTTTCATATTTCTTTACTTAAATTTTGACAATACGTAGATATATAATATAAGAGATTGGGAAAAAAAGGCTTTTAAATCATACCTACAATAGTGTTTTTTTTTTTTAAATCCACAGATGTGACATAAACGTGAATTTTTTCAAAAAAATAACTGCTCTTTTGTCACTATATGATTACAAAAACAATACTTCTCGTCGATTCAATTTAAAATACAAGTCTAGGTAAGATGACTAATTTACATATTTTCGATGTTAGTTAATATATTGCATCAGATGCTGTTTCACGGTTAAACAATTTGAACAAAACGTTGCCTTTCGTGACAGCAAAAAATATATATAATTTCAATGTTTATTTTATTTAGATAATCAAATATTTTTGCGAATTAAGTATTTTGTTACTTTTTAATACTTTAATTTTATTTCAACTAGTTAGACCTTTAAGGAACACATATAGTCTTCTCTTTGTTTCTGAATAAAAGGCAAAGCATTATGCTATAAATTCGATTTCATCTTTAGCCTTTGGAGAGAGAGAGTCACTTTTTATTAATGAATATCAGGGATTGCATGGTCCTTTAAAAAGTGGTAGAAAAAGTTAAAAAAATAGGACGTATTTTAGTGAGTTATGCCACGCTTAATATTTCAAAATATAAAATCGAACCATTGGTTTCATTAATAAGGTTTTCGTTTGGTTTCGTAATTTTAAGATGAAAGCTACTAAAAAGAAATTCTTAGCTTTATTACAATTTTGAAATCACTCTTTAAATTTTTCAAGGAAAGTACAAACCCTACATATTACATTTCGAGTAACATATTAACCGATTAAAATCTATAACCTCGTCGGATCGAACATTACATATTATCCTATTGTACAGAATTAGAATTTAGTGAATATCAGCATTTTATTAGCTGTGGTGAAGAATACAATACCACAACTAAAAATAGCGACTCAATAAGTTGTGTAAGGCGCATGAGGTGGCCCCATTAAAAATGTAAAGTTTGAAAACCTATGCCAAAAACGTGATTTCAAGTTTCTTCGAAAGAGATAAATCTAAACATTAGATTTTGTTTGTTCGATTCTTTTCACGCTGTTTCCATGATAAATTTATTCTTTACAATTTAACGTAATTTTTATTTTCAACTGTACGAAATGTGTTATTTTTTTATATATCATATCAACTTAAATCTTCCTTTACCGTATTATGTGGTCAACTCACCTCGACATAAAAGAGATGTTTTGTAAGTTCATTTTCAAATAATTTTTTTCATGCTTTGTATTTAATATATTTTTGCTCAAAATGTGTTGAGTACATCTATGAGAATTTAAAATATGTATTAACATTTAACATTCTTTTGCATCGCTATTCTTAGGGCTTTTACTTTGATTTGAAAAATTATCCTAGACTTACTCTATATGCAAATATACGGGAAAAAATTTAAATACACGCGCAAATTTACTATATGATTACAAAAACTATAATTTAGAAACATTTTATATTATATTANATACTCCTCAATAATCTTAAGTTCCCAAATAACGAAGTAATTTAGATTCTCACAACATGTGAACTCATAGACGCCAGCCAGAAGAAAAAAGAATGCCAAGGTTAAAATACAATAATGATTGAAGTAAATTTAAAATCATTCTTAACTTCTCAATTTTATGCCGAAGCAACGGCAGCTTAAATTCTGTATTATTAACCTAATTTAAATTTCAAAACAGATTGAAAAAATAAAAAGTGAAAATTACTATGTTTAAAATGCACTTTTGAAATTGTAAAATCTGAATTTAAATTACAAAAGTGCTAACATTCATTATAGCCAACCGCGAATACAATCATTCTCGAACTTATTTATTAGTATGGCTTATAATTACTATCAAAATATAAAATTTAATCTTAATGCTTTCTATTGAATTAATAGATGACTCGAATGTAAAATTTCAATTCAGAATAAATATTAATATAAGGTGCGTTACAATTTCATTTATTTCAGTATTGTAATTCTATAAACACAACAATTAGACCTCAAAAAGGTAGCATGCGTTTAAAAGTAATAAATGAAAGCAAGTAAGGGAACGTCTAGAATAGAAAAGATAAATTAAAAATAATTATATATAATTCCCGTTTTTGATCACAGAATACGTTAGTCAGGAAAAAAAGACAAGGATTCAGGTGTAAATTTTGAAATTAGAAATAAACGATGACTTTACTAAGGCACTATATATTAAGATCGTTCACATGTTTCAATAATGATTTAGTAGAAAGAAGGTTTAAAGAGTCATACTCATTGTCGAATTGCAAAATCACGAAAATTTAAATAAAAAGTATTGTGCTTTTTTTTCCTTCACATTTACACGACGCATGTTAACAGGTATGTTTACAAACAAGAACAACTTTGTTAGATGTTCGCAGCTTTTAGAGCAGACAATCAATCTAACGAAAAGGCGACTTGGAAATCTAAGTATGTTTTCAAAAAAAAATCTACAGAAAAGTTGGTTTTTATAGGTTGGTTAAAAAAAATTGACCTATCGATATGAGTTGTCGTCGAAATAATAGTGTTGGCAAAACGGCGTTCAGATGTTTTATTTTAAATAATAAAAAAAAAATCACGCTTTTAAAACAACCTTTTCGAATTTTCAGAGTGAATCAAATAATAATAATAATTGGTGCTTTTTAGTTCTTTTTTTTACCTACTCATTTGCCGAACAAAATAGAAATTATAAAGGCAAGTTTACTTCGGTAGTAAAAGTATTAAACTACAGCAAGAATTATTATATTTATCTTTGTAAACATGTAAATGGGTTTTCCAAACACGAGCTGATGTTTTAATGATCAAAACTCCATACACAAAATTCACCATTAGGTTTACAATAATTGATTTTATAACCGACTGTTGAACAGCCGACCCAATTTTGAGTTTAAGACAATCAATGTTCAACTCCGTAGCCATTAAGTTTAAACAAAACCCAGAAGACAAGGGAACTTCAGTATTAAGCATTGAGACAAAGTAACTTCGTTTACGACTTTTTGACGGAAGCAATTCGCATTTGCGTTACAAGGAGAGGTAAACTTCGAAAATATCTCTCGATTACACTTACGTTTACGTCAGCAGGAGGTAGGTGTGATCCGGGAGCCAAATTAGTATTAAGCAGCGACCGCTGGGATTCGAACCGAGGACATCTCAATGCTGAAGGGTACATCAAATTCATAAAAAGTACTTAGTTTCTCTAACAAGAAATCTACCTCAAACGTGAAAGGTACTCTGCGTCAAAATTATGACGTGACAAAAATTTTATCGAATTGATTTTCGAAATATAAATTTTTAAAATATAATTCATAACAAAAACATTTGAAAAAAACTATAGTTTTTGCCAAAAGAGCGATGGAAGTTCACCAAGTGGAACACTTTTAAAGAAGTTTAAAATACATAAAATCATAGCAGACGCATTATTTATTTCGAGGTAACAATAGACATTCTTCATTTTCTATAAATAAAAATATAAACTTGACAAGTGAATAAGACTCTGAATAACATTTGCTTGAAACACAAAGTTAATAGTTTATTCAAAATTTAAATTAGTTATATTATATGATACTTGTTTTTCTTAATTTTGAAGTGAATCATATTTGGCAACTAATAAAAGTTCGATTTGAACAACTCAAAAATTTAAAAAGTTTAAAGCGATTTTCTAAGTAGTTTTCTTACTTTTTAAAAGAAAGCTTAAAATTATAAGGAGTTATTCCACAAATTTCATTTTGCTCTATTAAACAAGATTTATTAATAAATGATAATACT